AGGCCATTGCTTCAGTTTGTAAGGCACATATTCAAATCCTTTCGATATCGTTATTGCGAAGGAAACCCAGTTTGGTTTGCGAGAAAGCTCCTTAATCAAGACTTCTTCAGAAGGAATGCCTTGATTTGTCAATGTATTACGTATCTCTCTCTCAAAGGGGTTGCCAGGAATGCGAATATATATTTGAGCTGTAACCCTTGCACTTGCATTATTGGGCAACCGTGGCTGTGGTGGAGAGGACTTCGATGGAATGTTCTTCATTATTTTGCAGCCTATTGCTGGGTTGGTTATTTGTGCTGGAAGGTGTAATTTGGTTGTCCTGGTTAGTGATAGTTGCTGTGTTGTTAGGAGTAGTAGAGATTGACTCTATATCTTCTTCGCTGTTTTGCAACTCTTTACCAGGTTGGTTGTTTTTGCTGGGAAGAATCTTGTTCTGGTTAGTGCCTGTTGTTGTATTGTTAGGAGTAGTGGGGAAGGACGCTGTTGTTTTATCACTATTTAGTAACCTGTTACTGATTTGATTATTTATGCTAGATGGTGTATCCAGGTTGTCTTGATGACTATCACTTTTATCTGGATCTACCTCTTCTTCACTACCACTGTCACATTCGTCTCTCAATGCACTGAAGGAATTGTGAGTAGAGACAGAAAACCTAGTTTGCAAAACCTGAGGGTTGTTGATAGAAGGGACATCATCGTTGTTAGGTGACAGCACTGAACTGAGAGGTGGAGATGTTTCTGATAGGAGTTTCAGCCTAAAAGTATCTCTTTTAAGTAGGACAATGTCAGATTCTAGCAAACCCACCTGTGCTGTAAGGCTTTCACCTTTTCAGCATCTGCTTCCAAAATTTTCACCTAATCTGCAAGACTTTCTATCATTCGGTGTAGGTCTCCTAGGTCGTGTGTTTTTTTAGACTCTATGGATTTTACAACCGAAGTTTGAGGTTGAAAGAGTTTGTCAAGTTCACCGTTCATTGAGATATTCAGGACACTTGCGCTAAAAGTTATTATGTTTGTAATTATGTCTCTTTTAACTCGTTTTTTTATGATGTGTTTACCACTGTATTGGGGAAAGAGTTCCACTACAGCAGTTAAGTTGTAAGGTTGGTTTAACTTTTAGACATTCTGTGGTGTAGTAGTACCGCGTTGGCACAATAATTATGTTTCCAAGGTTCAAGTTCTCGTTGGGGTATAAATGATTCATGTTTTTACATATGGTAATATGCTTCTTTAATTATCGTTGGTCCTTAATGATATTGAGATTTGAAGTAAATTCGAAAACGAAGCCACGAGTGAGGTTGGGAGAAACTGTAATATGAACAAAAAGGCATTCAGGTATATGCGTTCATTCCTAGTATAACAGTCAAGTTGTAAGGTTGTTTTCCCTTTTAGACCTTATGTGGTGTAGTTGGTTGCGCCTTGGCACAATAATTATATATCCTATGTAAAAGTCGTGCTTTGGGTAAATATGATTCATATTTTAACATATGGTAATTTGCTTCTCTGATTACTTTTGAACCTATTGAGATTGGGATTTGAATTGAATGCAAAAACAAAGAATCGAGTGAGGTTGGGAGAAACAATAATGTGAACAAAAAGGCATTCACATAGAATGCGGTCATTCCTATTATAGCTGTTAAGGTGTATGGTTGGTTTCCCTTATAGACCTTCCTTGATGTAGTTGGTGGCGTTTTGATACAATACTCATGTGTTCTAGGTTCAAGTCCTTCTTGGGGTAAAAATGGTTCATGTTTTCATATATGGTAATGGGTTTCTTTGATTATTGCTGGTCCCTAATGAGATTGGTATTTGAAATTAATGTGAAAACGAAGCCACGAGTGAGGTCGGGAGAAACTGTAATATGAACTAAGAGACATTCAGAGATATTGCATTCATTCTGGGCATAGTAGTTAAGATGTAAGTTTCATTTCTCTCTTAGACCTTCTGTGGTTGGTTGGTGGCGCCTTAGCACAATAATTATGTGTCCTAGGTTGCGGTAAATTTTTTTTTTCACATATGGTAATTTACTTCTTTGATTATTGTTGGTCCATTATGAGCTTGGGATTTGAATTAAATGCGAAAATGAAACCACAAGTGAGGTTAGGAGAAACTGTAATATGAGGAAAAAGGCATTCAGATAGAAGGTGCGTATACCTAGTATAGCAGTTAGGCTGCTAAATTGGTTTCTCTTTGAGACCTTTTGTGGTGTAGTATGTAGCTCTTTGGCACAGTAATTTTGTTATTGGATTTGAATTAAATGTGAAAACGAAGCCACGAGTGAGGTCGGGAGAAACTGTAATATTAACAAAAAGGCATTCAGATAGTATGTGTTCATTAACAGTATAACATCTAAGTTAAAAGGTTGAGTTCTATTTTAGACCTTATGTGCTGAAGTTGATAGCACCTTGGCACAATAGTTATGCATTCTAGGTTTTAAGCCTGGTTTGGGTAAAAACGGCCCATGTTTTCATATATGATAATCTGCTTCTTTGATGACTGTTGGTCCTTAATCAGGTTGGGATTTGAATTAAATGCAAAAACAAAGAAACGAGTGAAATTGGGAGAACTGTAATATGAGCAAAAAGGCAGTCATATAGAATGCATTCATTCCTAGTAAAGTAGTAAGCTATAAGGTTGGTTTCTCTTTTAGACCTTATGTGGTGTAGTTGGCAGCACTTTGGTACAATAATTACGTGTCCTAGATTCAAGTAATCTTTGGCGTAAAAAGTATTCATGTTTTCTCATATGGTAATGTGCTTCTTTAATTATTGTTAGTCCGTGATGAGATTGGGAATTTGAATAAATGTGAAAACGAAGCCATGCGTGAGGTTATAAGAAACTGTAATATGAGTAAAGAGGGATTCAGATAGAATATGCTCATTCCTAGTATAAGAGCTAAGCTGTAAGGTTGGTTTCTCTTTCAGACCTTCTGTTCACAATAATTATGTGTCCTATGTTCAAGTCCTGGTTGGGGTAAAATTTTTTCATGTTTTCACATTTGGTAATGAGCTTCTTTGATTATTGTTGGTCACTAATGAGACTGAGATTTTAATTAAATGCGAAAATGAAGCCACGAGTTAGATGGGAGAAATTGTAATTTGAACGAAAAGGCATTTAGAGAGAATGCATTCACTTCTTATATAACAATTGAGCTATGAGGTTGGATTTTCTTTTAGACCTTATGTGGTGTAGTGGGTAGCACCTTGACACAATAAGTATGTGTTCTAGGTTCAAGTCCTTGTTTTGGGTAATAATGATTCTTGTTTTCACATATGGTTATGTGCTTCATTGATTATCGTTGGTACCTATTGAGATTGGGATTTGAATTAAATGCAAAAACGAAGCCACGAGTAATGTTGGGAGAAACTGTAATATGAAAAAAAAGGCATTCAGATGGAATGCGGTCATTCCTAGAATAGCAGTTAAGCTGTAAGGTTGGTTTCTCTTATAGGCCTTCTCTTGTGTAGTTGATAGTGCCTTCGCACAATAATTATATGTTTCAGGTTAAAGTCCTGGTTGAGATAAAAATGATTCAAGTTTTCACATATAGTAATGTGCTTCTTTGATTATTGTAGGTCCCTAATGAGATTGAGATTTGAATTAATTGTGAAGACGAAGCAACGAGTGGGGTTGGGAGAAACTAATATGAACAAAAAGGAATTCCCATAGAATGCGCTCATTTTTAGTTGGTTTCTCCTTTAGATCTTCTATGGTGGAGCTAGGAATGCCTTGGCACAATAATTATGTGTCCTAGGTTCAAGTGCTGGTTGGAGTAAAAATAAATAAAGTTTTCACATATCGTAATGTGCTTCTTTGATTATTGTTGGTCCTTAATGAGATAGGGATTTGAACTAAATGCAAAAACGAAACCAATGGTGAGGCTGTAAGGTTAGTTTCTCTTTTAGACCTTTTGTGATGTACTTCGTAGCGCATTGGTGCAATAATTTTGTGTCCTAGGTGCATGTCCTGCTTAAGTTAAAAATAATCCGTGTCTTCACATATGGTTTTGTGCTTCTTCAATTATTAGATGGTCCGTAATGAGATTGGGATTTGAATTAAATGTGAAAACGAAGCCACAAGTGAAGTTGGGAGAAATAGTAATATGAACAAAAAGGCATTCACATAGAATGCATTCATATCTAGTATAACAGTTAGGCAGTAATGTTGGTTTCTCTTTTAGAGCTTCTGCGGTGTAGTTGGTAGCACCTTGGCACAACAATTGAGTGTTTTACATTCAAATCCTGGTTTGGGTAAAATTGACTCATGTTTTCACATATGGTAATATGCTTCTTTGATTATTTTTTGTCCATAATGAAATTGTGATTTCAAATAAATGTGAAAACGAAGCCACAAGTGAGGTTAGAAGAAACTTAAATATGAACAATATGGCATTCAAATACAATGCGTTCATTTCTAGTATAGCAGTTAAGCTATTAAGATGGTTTTTCTTTTATACCTTCTGTGTTGTAGTTAGTAACACTTTGGCACAATAATTATGTGTCCTAGGCCCAAGTCCTGGTATGGTTAAAAATGATTCATATTTTCAAATATGGTAATGGGCTTCTTTGATTATTGTTGAGTCGCAATGAGATTGGATTTGAATTAAATGCGAATATGAAGCCACGAGTGAAGTTGGGAGAAACTGTAATATTAGCTAAAAGGCATTCAGATAGAATGGGTTCATTCCTAGTATAACAGCTAAGTTGTGAGATTGGGTTCTCTTTTAGACCTTATGTGGTGTACTTGATAGCACCTTGACACAATAATTATGCGTTTTAGGTTGAAGTCGTGGTTTGGGTAAGAATGATCCATGTTTTCATACATGATAATTTGCTTTTTAGATGACTGTTGGTCCCTATTGAATTTGGGATTTGATTTAAATGCGAGAACGAAGCCATGAGTGAGGTTGAGAAAAACTGTAAGATGAACAAAAAGGCATTCATATAGTATGCATTCATTGCTAGTATAGTAGAAAACTATAAGGTTAGTTTCTATTTTACACCTTCTGTGGTGTAGTTGGTAGCACTTTGGTACAATACTTATGTGTCCTAGGTTCAAGTCCTTGTTGGGGTAAACACTATTCATGTTTTCACATATGGTAAAGGGCTTCTTTGATTTTTGTTCGTCTCTAATGAGACTGGGATTTGAGTTAATGCGAAAATGAAACCACGACAGAGGTTGGGTGAAACTGTAATATGAACAAAAGGTATTCAGATAGAATGCGTTTATTTCTAGTATAGCAGTTGAACGGTAAGGTTGTTTTCTATTTTGCACCATTTGTGGTGTAGTTGGAAGCGCCTTGGCACAATAATTATATGTCTTAGGTACGAGTCCGAGTTTGGGTAAAAAGGTTCATGTTTTCACATATGGGAATGTGCTTGTTTGATTATAGTTGGTCGTTAAGAGATTGGGATTTGAATTAAATGTGAAAACGAAGCCACGAATGAGGTTGAGAGAAACTGTAATATGAACAAGCACACATTCATATAGATGTGTTTACTCTAAGCATAGCAGTTAAGGTATTAAGTTGGTTTCTCATTTAGACACTCTGTAGTATAGTTGGCTGTGCATTTGCAAAATAATTATGTGTCCTATGTTCAAGTCCTGATTGGGGTAAAAATGATTCATGTTTTCACATATGGTAATGTGTTTCTTTGAGTATTGTTGGTTCCTAATGAGATTGGGATCTGAATTAAATGCGAAAACGAAACCACAAGTGAAGTTGGTTGAAGCTTTAATATGAACCAAAAGGCATTCAGATAGAATGCGTTCATTCCTAGCAGAGCAGTTAAACTGTAAGGTTGGTTTCTCCATTAGACCTTTTGTGATGTAGTTCATAGTGCATTAGTACAATAATTATGTGTCCTAGGTTTATGTATTGGTTGAATAAATATTTTTTCTTGTTTTCACATATTGTAATGTGCTTCTTATGTTATTGTTGATCCGTAATGAGACTGGGATGTGAATCAAATGTGAAAACGAAGCCATTAGTGAGGTTGGGAAAAACTGTAATATGAACAAAAAGGCATTCGCATAGAATGCATTCATATCCAGTATAACAGTTAGTTTGTAATGTTGGTTTCTCTTTTAGACCTACTGTGGTGTAGTTGGTAGCACCTTGGCACAACAATTATGTGTTCTACGTTCAAGTCCTGGTTTGGGTGAAAACGATCATGTTTTCATATATGGTAAAGTGCTTCTTTGATGACTGTTGACCTTTAATGAGATTGGGATTTGAATTAAATGCAAAAATGAAGTAAGAAGTTAGGTTGGGAGAAGCTGGAATGGGAGCAAAAAGTCATTTATATAAAATGCGTTCATTATTAGTATAGTAGTTAAACTATAAGGCTGGTTTCTCTTTTAAACATTCTGTTGAGTATTTGGTAGCTCTTTGGTTCAATAATTATGTGTACTAGGTTCAAGTCCTTGTTTGAGTAAAAATGAGTTATTTTTTCACATACAGTAATGTGCTTCATCGATTATTGTTGGTCCTTAATGAGATTGGGATTTGAATTAAATGTAAATACGAAGCCACGAGTGAGGCCGGGAGAAACTGTAATATGAACTAATAGGTATTCAGATAGAATGCGTTCATTCCTAGGATAACAGTAAAGCTGTATGGTTGGTTTCCCTTTTAGACCTTATGTGGTGTAGTTGGTAGCACCTTGGTACAATAATTATATGTCCTAGGATCATGTTAAGGTTGGGGTAAAAATAATTCTTGTTTCCACATCTGATGATGTGCTTCTTTTGTTTTTGTTGGTCCATAATATGATTGGGATTTGAATTAAATGCAAAAGCAAAGCCATGTGTGAGGTTGGGAGAAACTCTTATATGAAAAAAAGGCATTGAGATATAGTGCCTTCATCCCTAGTATAGCAGTTAAGCTGTAAGGTTTTTTACACTTTTAGACCTTCTGTGGTGTAGTTGGCAGGGCTTTGGAACAATAAATATGTGTGCTAGGTTCATGTCCTGGTTGGGGTAAAAATGATTAATGTTTTCACATATGCTAATATGCTTCTTTGATCATTGTTGGTCCCTAATGAGCTTGGAATTTGACTACAATGCGAAAACGGAACCACGAGGAATATTGAGAGAAACTCTAATATGAACAAAAAGTCATTCAGATAAAATGTGTTCATTAGATGGTTTCTCTTTTAGGCCTTCTCTGGTGTAGTTGATTATATGTTTTAGGTTAAAGTCATAGTTGAGGTGAAAATGATTCATGTTTTCACATATGGTAATATTCTTCTTTGATAATTTAAGATTGGGATTTGAATTAAGTGTGAAAACGAAACCATAAATGAGGTTGGAAGAAATTTTACAATTAACAAAAAGGCATTCAGAAAGAATGCGTTCTCTCCTGTTAAAGCAGTTAAGCTGTTAAGATGGTTTCTCTTTTAGACCCTCTGTGGTGTAGTTGGTTGCACCTTGGCACGATAATTACATGTGATAAGTTCAAGTCCTTTTTGGGGATAAAAGGACTTATGTTTTCAAATATGGTAAGGTGCCTCTTTGATTATTGTTGGTCCATAATGAGACTGGGACTTGAATTAAATGCAAAATCGAAGCTACGAGGAAGATTGAGAAAACCTTTACTATGAACGAAAAGGCATTCAGATAGAATGTGTACATTCCTAGTACAGCATATAAGCTGAAAAGTTGGTTTCTCATTTAGACCTTCTTTGGTGTAGTTGGTAGCACCATGGCACAATTATTTTGTGTTCTAGGTTCAAGTCCTTGTTTGAGTAAAAATGATTCATGTTGTCACAGATGGTAATGTGCTTCTTTGATTATTGTTAGTCCCTAATGAGTTTGTGATATGAAATGAATACGAAAACGAAGCCACGAGTGAGATTGGGAGAAACTGAAATATAAATAAAAAGGCATTCAGATAGTATTGTTCATTCCTAGTATAGCAGTTAAGCAGGAATTGTTGGGTTTCCTCTTAGACCTTATTTGGTGTACTTGGTATCACCTTAGCACAATAATTATGTGTTCTGTATTCAAGTCCTTATTTGGGTAAAAAGGATTCATGTTATCACACATGGTAATGTGCTTCTTTGATTATGGATAGTACCTAATGAGATCGGGATTTGAATTAAATGCAAAAACGAGGCCCCGAGTGAGATTAGGAGAAACTGTGATATGAACAAAAAGGCATTCAGATAGATTGCGTTCATTCCTAGAATAATAGTTAAGCTGCATGGTTGGTTGCTCTTTTAGACCATCTGTGGTGTAGTTTGTAGTCCCTTGGCACAAAACTTGTGCCTTAGGTTCAATTCCTGATTGGGTAAAAATGAATCATGTTTTCACATTTGGAAATGTGCTTCTTTGATTATCTTTGTTCCCTAAATAGATTGGGATTTGCATTTAATGCAAAAACGAAGCCATGAGTGAGGTTAGGAGAAACAGTAATATCAACAAAAACGGCATTCAGATAGAGTGCGTTCATTCCTAGTATAGCAGTTAAGCTGTAAGGTTGGTTCTCTTTAAGAGCTTCTATTTTGTAGTTGGTAGTGCCTTGGCATAATAATTGTGTCCTATGTTCAAGTCCTCGTTGAGGTAAAAATTAATCATTTTTTCACATATGGTAATGTGTTTCTTTGATTATTGTTGGTCCTTAATGAGATTTGGATTTTAATTAAAAACGAAAATAAAGCCATGTGTGAAGTTGGGAGAAACTGTAATGTAAACAAAAAGGCATTCAGATAGAATGCCTCTATTCCTAATATAGCAGTTAAGTTTTAAGGTTAGTTTCTCTTTTAGGCCTTCTTTAGCATAGTTGGTAGTGCCTTGGCACAATAAATATATGTAGTAGGTTTAAGTCCTGGTTGAGGTAAAAATGATTCATGTTCTCACATATGGTAATGTGCTTCTTTCAATATTATTGGTCCCTAACGTAATTGGGATCTGAATTAAATGTGAATACGAAGCCAAGAGTGAGGTTCATGGAAGCTGTAATATGAACAAAAAGGCATTCAGATAGAATGCATTTTTTCCTAGTATAGCAGTTAAGCTGTATGGTTGGTTTCTCTTTTAGACGTTTTGTGGTGTTGTTGGTATCGCAATGGCACAAAAATCATGTTTCCTACGTTCAAGTCCAGGTTGGGGTAAAAACATTTAGTAATATTTCACATATAGTAATATTCTTCTTTGATTATTGTTGGTATCTAATGACATTGGGATTTCAATAAATTGCAAAAACGAAGCCACGAGTGAGCTTGGGAGAAACTGTGATATGGATAAAAAGGGATTCAGATAAAATGCATTCATTCCTAGTACAGCAGATAAGGTGTAAGGTTGGTTTCTCTTTAGACCCTCTGTGGTATAGTTGGTAGCATCTTATATCGAAAATTGTGTCCTACGTTCAAGTCCTGGTTGGGGTAAAAACTATTCACATTTTAACATATGGTAAGGTGTTTCTTCAATTACTGTTGGCCCGTAATGAGATTGGTATTTGAAGAAAATGCAAAACCGAAGCCACTAGTGAAGTTGGGAGAAACTGTAATATGAACGAAAAGGCATTCAGATAGAAAGCATTCATTCCTAATATAACAGTAAAGCTGTTAAGTTCGTTTCTCTTTTAGACATTCTTTTGTGTTGTTTGTAGGGCCTTGGCACAATAATTATGAGTCCTAGGTTAAAGTCCTTCTTTGGGCAAATATGATTCATGTTTTCACAAATGGTAATGGGCATTTTTTTTTATTATTGTTTGTCGCTAATGAGATTGGGATTTGAATTAAATGCAAAAATGAATAAACGACTGAGGTTGGGAGAAGCTATTATATGAACAAAAAGGCATTTAGATAGAATGCATTCATTCCAAGTATTGCAGTTAAGTTATTAAGTTGGTATCTCTTTTAGACCTTTTGTGGTATTGTTTGTAGCGCTTTGTCACAATAATTTTGAGTGCTAGGTTCAAGTCCTAGATAGGGTAAAATTGATTCATGTTTTCACATATGGTTTAGTGCTTCTATGATTATTGTTGGTCACTAACTAGATTGGAATTTGAATTAAATGCAAAAACGAAGCCTCGAGTGAGGTTGGGAGAAACTGAAATACGAATAAAAAGTCATATAGATTGAGTGCATTCATTCTTATTATAGCAGTTAAGCTGTAAGGTTGATTTCTCTTTTAAACCTTTTGTGGTGTAGTTGGTAGCGCTTTGGCACAATAATTATGTATTCTAGGTTCAAGTCCTGGTTGGGGCAAAAATTATTAATTATTTCACATATGACACTCGGCTTCTTTTATTATTGGTCCCCCTAATGAGATTGGGATTTGATTTAAATGTGAAAACGAAACCATGAGTTAGGTTGGGAGAAACTGCAATATGCACAAAAAGGCATTCAGAGAGAATGCCTTCATACATGGCATAGCTGTTAAGCTGTAAGGTTGGCTTCTCACTTAGACCTTCTGTATGGTCGTTGATAGCGCCTTGGCACGATAATTATGTTTCCAAGGTTCAAGTATTAGTTTGGGTAAAAATTATTCATGTTTTCACATATGGATATGTGCTTCTTTAATTATTGTTGGTCCCTACTGAGATTGGGAATTGAATGAAATGCAAAAAATTATATTACGTGTGAGGTTAGGAGAAATTGTAATATGAACAAAAGGGCATTCAGATAGAATGCGTTCATTCCTACTATAGCAGTAAAGCTGTGTAGTGGTATTCTGGCGCAAAAAGTGTGTCCTAGGTTCAAGTCTTTGTTGGGGTTAAAATTATTAATTTTTTCACATATGGTATTGGGCTTCTTTGATTATTGTCGGTCCCTAATTATATTGGGATTTGATTTAAATGCAAAAACAAAGCCACGAATGAGGTTAGGAGAAACTGTACTATGAACAAAAAGGTATTCAAATATTGTGCGTTAATTCCTAGGATAGCATTAAAGGTGTTAAGTTGGTTTCTCCTTTAGACCCACGGTGGTGTAGTTGGTTGCGTCTTGGCACAATAATTGTGTGTCCTAAGTTAAAGTCCTTGTTGGGGTAAAAATTAATCTTGTATTCACATATGATAATATACTTCTTTAAATATCATTGGTCCGTGATGAGGTTGGGATTTTGATTAAAAGCGAAAACGAAGCCACGAGTGAGGTTACTAGAAACTGTAATATGGAGGTAAAGGCATGTAGTGAGAATGTGTTTATTCCTCGTATTGCAGTTAAGCTATTAAGTTAGTTACTCATTTAGACCTTCTGTGGGGTAGTTGGTAGAGTTTTGGCACAATAAATGTGTGTCCTAGGTTCAAGTCCTTGTTGGGGTAAAATTATTCATGTTTTAATATATAATTTTGTGCTTCTTTGATTATTGTTGGTTCCTAATGAGATCGGGATTTCAATTAAATGTGAAAACGAAGTCACAAGTGAGGTTGGGAGAAACTCTTATATGAATAAAATGGCTTTCATATAGAATGCAATCATTCCTAGTCTTACACTTTAGTTGTAAGGCTCGTTTCACTTTTAGACTTTCTGTGGTGTAGTTAGTTGCACCTTAGCACAATAATTATGTGTTCTAGGTTCAAGTCATGGTTGGGGTTAAAATGATTCATGTGTACACATATGGTAATTTGGTTCTTTGATTATAGTTGTCAAAAATGAGATTGGGATTTGAATTCAGTGCGAAAACGAAGCCACGAGTAAGAGTAGCAGAAACTGTAATGTGAACAAAAAGACGTTCAGATAGAATGCGTTCATTCCTAGTATAGTCGTTAAGCTGTAAGTTTGTTTTCTCTTTTAGACCTTCTGTGGTGTCGTTGGTAGCGCATTGGCACAATAATTATGTGTCCTAGGTTCAAATCCCGGTTGGGGTAAATATACTTCCTGTTTTCACATATGGTAATATTCTTCTTATAATATTCTTGGTCTCTCAAGAGTATGGGATTTGAATTAAATGCGAAAACGAAGCCACGAGTGAGGTTGTGAGAAACTGTGATATGAACAAAAAGGGATTCAGATAGAATGTATGCATTCCTAGTACAGCAGTTAAAGTGTAAGGTTGGTTTTTCTTTTAGACCTTCTGTGGTGTAGTTGGTAGCACCATAACACAAAAATTGTGTCCTAGGTTCAAGTCCTGGTTGGGTAAAAGTGATTAATATTTTGACATATAGTAAGGTGCTTTTTTTTATTATTATTATTGTTGATTCTTAATGAGATTGGGATTTGAATTAAATGCAAAAACGAAGCCACGAGTGAAGTTGGGAGAAACTGTAACATGAAAGAAAAGGCAATCAGATTGAAAGTATTCATTCCTAGTATAGCAGTTAAGCTGTTAAGTTAATTTTTCTTTTAGGCCTTCTGTTGTGTTGTTGGTAGGACATTAGCACAATAATTATGAGTCCTATATTCACTTCCTTGTTGGGGTAAAAATTATTCATGTTTTCACAAATGGCAAAGTGCGTTTTTTATTATTGTTGGTCCCAAATGAGATTGGGATTTGAATTAAATGCAAAAATGAAGCCACGAAAGAAGTTGGGAGAAACTGTTATATGAACAAAAAGGCATTCAGATAGAATGGGCACATTCCTAGTATTGTAAGTTAAGCTATTTAGTTGGTTTCTCTTTTAGACCTTTTGTGGTGTAGTTCGGAGCACTGTGGCACAATAATTTTGAGTCCTAGGTTAAAGTCCTGGTTGGGTAAAATTGATTCATGTTTTCACATATGGTAATGTGCTTCTTTGATTATTGTTGGTCCCTAATGAGATTGGGATTTTAATTACATGCAAAAAAAAAAGCCCGAATGAGGTTGGGAGAAACTGTAATATGAACAAAAAGACATTCAGATTGAATGCGTTCATTCTTAGTATAGCAGTTGAGCTGTAAGGTTGGTGTCTTATTTAAACCTTCTGTGGTGTAGTTGGTAGCACCTTGGCACAATAACTATATATCTAGGATCAAGTCCTGGCTTGGGTAAAAAAGATTCATGCTTTCACATAGATGGTAATGTCCTTCTTTGATTATTGTTGGTCCCTCATGATATTGGGATGTGAATTAAATACGAAAATTAAGTCATGAATTAGGGTGGGAGAAACTGTAATATGAACAAATAGGCATTCAGATAGAATGTGTTCATTCCTAGTATAGGAGTAAAGCTGTTAAGTTGGTTTCTCCTTTAGACCCTCTATGGTGTAGTTGTTTGCGCCTTGGCACAATAATGATGTGTCCTAAGTCCAAGTTCTGTTTGGGGTAAAATTGATTCACGTTTTCACATTTGGTAATGTGCTTCTTTGATTATAGTTGGTCCCTAACGAGATTGGGATTTGGATGAAATGCAAAAATAAAGCCAAAGTGAGGATGGGAGAAACTGTAATTTGAAAAAAAAAAGGCATTCAGAGAGAATGTGTTTATTCCTAGTATAGCAGTTAAGCTGTTAGGTTGGCTTCTCTTTTAGACCTTCTGTGGTGTAGTAATAGAGTATTGGTACAATAATTATGTGTCCTAAGTTCAAGTCCTTTTTGGGGTAAAAATAATTCATGATTTCACATATGGTAATGTGCTTCTTTGATTATTGTTAGTCCCTAATGAGATATGGATTTGAATTATATGCGAAAACGAAGCCATGAGTAAGATTGGGAGAAACTGTAATGTGAAAAAAAAAGTATTCAGATAGAATGCAGTAATTCTTAGTAAAGCATTTAAGCTTTAAAGTTCGTTTCAGTTTTAGACCTTTGTCTTGTAGTTGGTTGTACCTTAGCACAATCATTATGTGACCTAGGTTCAAGTCCTAGTTGGGGTAAATATGATTCATATTTTTACATATGGTAATTGGCTTCCTTGATTATTGTTGGTCCCTAGCGAGATTGGAATTTGAATTAAATGTGAAAACGAAGCCACGAGTGAGGTTTGAAGAAACTGTCTTATGAACAAAAAAGCATGCAGATAGAATGCATGCTCCTAATATAGCAGCTAAGATTGGTTTCTCTTTTAGACGTTCTGTGGTGTAGGTGGTATCGCCATGGCATAATAATTAGGTTCAAGTCCTTCTTGGTGTAAAAATAATTCTTAATTTCCCATATGGTAATATTCTTCTTTGATTATTGTTGGTCCTTAAAAACATTGGAATTTGAATTAAATGCAAACACAAAGCCACAAGTGTGGTTGGGTGACACTGTGATATGAACAAAAAGGGAATCAGATAGAATGCATTCATCCCTAGTACAGCAGTTAAGGTGTAAGGGTGGTTTCTCCTTTAGACCTTCTGTTGTGTAGTTGGTAGTGCCTTGACGCAAAAATTGTGACCAAGGTTCAAGTCCTGGTTGGGGTAAAAATTATTCTTATTTTCACATATGGTAAGGTGCTTCTTTGATTACTATTGATAATAATAATAATAATAAACTTTATTTCCATTTTACAATGGGTATTCGTCAGCCAGGACAAGCCCCAACCCCCCACTGTGATGTCCACCCACAGCAGTTCCTGCCAGTAAACAGCTTAAACTCTCGGTCTTGGACGGGGACCGATCTTTCGACCTCGTGAATGCGAAGCCAGCGCGTTACCACTGTACTAGCCAGCAGAGATTGTAATTTGAATTAAATGCAAAAACGAAGCCACGAGTGAAGTTGGGAGAAACAGTAATATGACTGAAAAGGCAATCAGATAGAATGCATTCATTCCTAGTATAGCAGTTACGCTGTTAAGTTGGTTTCTCTTTTAGACATTCTGCGTTGTAGTTGGTTGGGCCTTGGTACAATAATTATGTGTCTTAGATTCAAGTCCTTGTAGAGGTAAAAATAATTAATGTTTTCACATTTGGTAATGAGCTTCTTTGATTATTGTTTGTCCCTAATGAGACTGGGATTTGAATTAAATACAAAAACGAAGCCACGAGTCGGGAGACTCTGTAATATAAACAAAAATACATCCAGATAGAATGCGTTCATTCCAAGTACAACATTTAAACTGCTAGGTTGGTTTCTCTTTTAAATCTACTGTGGTGTAGTTGGTAGCACCTTTGTGCAATAATTGGGTTCTATTTTCAAGTTCTGGTTTGGGCAAAAATTATTTATGTTTTCACATATGGTAATGTGCTTATTTGATTATTGTTGGTCCCTAATGAGATTTGGTATTAAATTTAATGCAAATACAAAGTCACAAGTGAGGTTGGGGTAAACTCTAACGTAACAAAAATGCATTCATATAGAATGTGTTCATTCCTTGCATAGTAGTTAAGGTGAAAGGTTGGTTTCTCTTCAAGATCTTCTTTGATATAGTTTGTAGCGCTTTGGCACAATAATTATGTGTCCTAGGTTCAAGTCCTTGTTGGGATAAAAATAATTCATGTTTTCACATATGATTATGTGCTTCTTTGATCACTGTTGGTCCCTAATGAAATTGGGATTTGAATTAAATGCAAAAATGAAGCCATATGTGAGATTGAGAGAAACTGTAATGTGAACGAAAAGGCATTCAGATAGAATGCGTTCATTCCTAGTATAGCAGTTAAGCTGTAAGGTTGGTTTCTCTTATAGGCCTTCTCTGGTATAGTTGGTAAGGTCTTTGCACAAAAATTAAGTGTCATAGGTTGAAGTCCTGGTTGGGGTAAAAAAGATTCATATTTTCAAATGGGGAACTCTGCTTCTTTGATTATTGTTAGTCGCAAATTAGATTGCCATTTGAATTAAATACAAAAACGAAGCCATAAGTGAGGTTGGGAGAAACTGTGATATGAAAAAAAAGCATTCTGATAGAATGTGTTCATTCCTAGTATAGTAATTAAGCTGTAAGGTTGGTTTCTGTTTTAAGCCTTGTATGGTGTATTCGGCACCGCCTTGGTACAATAATTATGTCTTAGGTTCAAGTCCTTGTTGGTGTGAAATTAATTCATGTTTTCACATATGGTAATGTGCTTCTTTGATTACTGTTGGTCCCTAATGAGATTTGGATTTGAATTAAATACAAAAATGAAGCCACGAGTGAAATTGGGAGAAACTGTAATATGAAAAAAAAGGCACTTATCTAGAATGCATTCATTTTAAGTATAGTAGTTGGGTTGTAAGGTTAGTTTCTCTTTTGGACCTTCTGTGGTGTAGTTGGTAGCACCTTGGCAAAATAATTGTGTCCTAGGTTCAGGTCATGGTTGGAGTAAAAATGATTCATGTTTTCACATATGGTAATGTGCTTCTTTGAATATATATATATATATATATATATATATATATTATATATAATATATATAATATAGTATATATATAGTATATATATATATATATATATATAACCAATTAAGCACATTACATATGTGAAAGCATGAATAATTTTTTTTACCTCGACCGGGACTCGAACCTAGGACTTATGATTACTAAGTCAAGGCGCTACCACTACACCACAGAAGGTTAAAAGGAATCCAACCTTATAGCTTATATCTGCTATACTTAGGAATGAACGCATTCTAACTGAATGCCACTATGTTCATATTACAGATTCCCCAACCTCACTCGTGGCTTCATTTTAGCATTTAATTCAATTCCCAATCTCATTCGGGCCACGAAATAACCAATTAAGCACATTACATATGTGAAAACATGAATCATTTTTTACCCCGACCGGGACTCGAACCTAGGACTTATGATTACTAAGTCAAGGCACTACCACTACACCACAGAAGGTTAAAAGGAATCCAACCTTATAGCTTATATCTGCTATACTTAGGAATGAACGCATTCTAACTGAATGCCACTATGTTCATAATACAGATTCCCCAATCTCACTCGTGGCTTCATTTTAGCATTTAATTCAATTCCCAATCTCATTCGGGCCATGAAATAACCAATTAAGCCACGAGTTAGGTTGGGGAATCTGTAATATGAACATAGTGGCATTCAATTAGAATGCGTTCATTCCTAAGTATAGCAGATATAAGCTATAAGGTTGGATTCCTTTTAACCTTCTGTGGTGTAGTGGTAGCGCCTTGACTTAGTAATCATGTCCTTGGTTCGAGTCCCGGTCGGGGTATAAAATGATTCATGTTTTCACATATGTAATGTGCTTAATTGGTTATTTCATATCCCGAATGAGATTGGGAATTGAATTAAATGCTAAAATGAAGCCTTGAGTGAGGTTGGGGAATCTGTAATATGAACATAGTGG